CCTACAGACTTGACAAACATTGATAATAATCTTAACCAATGCTCTACTCACCTCATCACTAACTAGATATAATTCTTGAGGAAAACAATCGGAGAGAGTTCCGTCTGCCCATTTTATCTGTATGGACCCACTAGGGTTTAATCTGTACACTTGACCAACAGCTGATAACTTCTGTTCTGTATCCTGTATATATTATTTATATTATTAAAAGAGATTGTAAACCTTGTATGTGTATCAGGGGACACTGATAGCATCAATTTACACCATTCTAATTTTCAGTAAGATGTCTGCAGTTCTTACAACTCACTAAAACTAAGCGTTTTATGACATCACTATAGCAAGAGAAGCTAATATTCAGTTCAACATTTTCATAATTATAGAATAGTTTGATAGAAATAAAAAAAGAAATACGACACAATTTTCTGTATTTTTAAACTACCCAAGAGACAAATAGAAAAATACTCTGATTAGTAAGAACTTGGTCGTTGTTTCTTATCATAACTAATAAACAGGTAATGGAATATCGTAACGTTGTTAAATCTAAGGACTTTCGCAGTAATAAACGATAATTGATTAACATATTAGGCCACTCCTTCAAAACCCCAATATATTTCTAACTAGAGTATATACCTCGAAACCTCCCACTCTAATAGCACTATAACCAGGTCTGAATTTATAATGTGGATGATCTTTTATATCATAAACACTGACTTCATGTACATCAGATAATACTGTCGGTCTGAAATAGATTAATTTACATTGATCATATCATACTCAAAACAACTCTAAACAAGGCTAACACCCAGCTTCTAACTGTCAGTGATGCAGGTAAGAAGGACTGACATGAAAAAAGCGTCTAGTCGTTGGAAATTGAAAAAGAGCAGGCTAATGCCGCTGTCCTAGCAAAATTTCCCTCATTGCACCCTGCATGATGTTGCCCATCTTCATTAGACCACATGGTGCAGAAAAGTAGGACGTAAAACTCCATTCATTTCATTTCATTCACAAGGCCAATCGCATCATAAAAGAATTCTGTAGAATAACAATAGACACCTACATAGTCATATGAATTTTAGATTCACTACATTAAGAACATTAGTGGTACTTGGTTAAGAAAATCACAAGGAGACACCAGAAAGAAAAACTTCTAGTACTGATTTCTGCCGACAAGTATGCTGATTCCAACCAAACACCCCAAAGCCGATGGCCTATTTAGTTGGAACTTGCATTTCATTATACGTATACACTATCAAAATATTCCTTTGTTTTTATCTTAGTCATAATACGGATGACTCCCACTGAATTAATGTAAGGTGATTAATTCCCATTTTACAACATATAAGGCTAATATAAATAATACTTTGCAGTGTGCAATAAAGGAACAGAGGTACAGTCTGTAGCACATAGCAATATCTAGTAGTAACTTTCCATTTAGACTAATTATTCAACTTATACTGTCGTTTTGATTCTCACCGCTTTGATTTGCCAACTTCATACGGGCGTAACCACTGTATATAACATGTTCTAGCAGAATGATCACATGACACAACTACACCATAATCATTAAAACCCTCCGTATCTGGAAAATAAATATATCTATATCAAAACTCGTCTATTCGCTGGTTTTAAGTCACAACACTTGTAATTTTATTCTAATAATAATGTAGGTGTTTGAGGATTTTCTCTAGTTAAACCTTTTGGCAATGATTTTACAAGGATAACAAGTTAGGTTCTCAATCAAATATAAAATCTCTATTGACTAGAAAGGCAAACATTGTAACACTTGATTTTTCCACCTACCTTTTGCGTCAATAATAAAATCACCAGGGAAGAATTCCAACTCATCTAGATGATGTATGGGGTATAACTCTGCTGATAGCATGTTATTTTCTACTGTACCATCCTGTAAATAGTAGGTACAAGCATCAGCTATATGAAGTTAGTTAGTCCAATCATTTAGCAGACATCAAAAACAACTGATCATGATAAAAGTCTTCTTTTTTTGTTTTCCAACTGTCAAGAGATCTTTAACATGCACAGCCTGTAGCACACAGGGCCTTAGTTAATTGTCCCATCTAAACGTAAAAGAAGACGTTGAAGAGGTAATAGTGAAAAAGAATATTCTACCTGCCACATGACGTTAGCTTTCGAAACAGTGTAGCAAATTTCTACTGGAACTTTCTCACCAGCCGTTAATTTCCTTTCTGGAAGATTAAACTTCATTCTAGGCCTCCTTCCTCGCCTACCACGTAACATCTTCAACTGTAGAGACGGTTTCTTTCTACCCTTCTTCTTTTTACCTGAACAAAATGATTCTAAAATCAGACATCTTATCTTTTTATCTATTGATTAATTGAGAATCATGCTCTTTTTTCAGTCGATAGATTTAAAACATGACTAATCGGTCTCGGTCTTTTATCCACACTAAAAAATACAAGTTTAGCATGTCTGTAAAGAGTTTTGCTAACTTTTTTTAGTTCAAGAATATCTAATTTTTAGAACTGCTCAATAATACTTGGTTTTATTGGATTATAGAGGGATTTTGCTATAATTATAACACCTGGTAAGTCTACCTGATGAATATATATATTCTTATTTTCAGAGGTGGAATTCCTTTAACTTGCTCGAACAAGCCTTACAAAATAAAAATCATTATCATAAAATTCTACCTGATGCTGAGCCTTGAGAAGATCCCGAATTAACAGAACCAGCGTCTGATTCGTCCGAATCATCATCCTCATATTCATCATCATCATCATAATCATCATCATCAGTATTGTCATCATTACCATTCTCATTTACCCCATCACCTCCTCCTTTACTGTCTTTACTCTTCTTCTTCTCAGTTTTTACCTAGAAAAATTATAAAATGATATGAAATGAATGGTGTTTTACATGTTATCTTTCAGGGAGGCCAAAATTTTCTTAGAGGGGGCCTGTGCATCACTAACAAGGGAAAACTGGGTAACAAAAATCTGAAGAAACAAGACAGGGGCCTGATAACTTGAAGTTTTAATTATAATGATAACAGAATTGTCAATAAATTATAATGAAACAGTTTG